ATATTTTGTAAGATAATACACACATTTCTACACAAAAACCAGAATGCTGTAAGGCTGTTGACAGATACCACAAATACACGTTCTAGGTGAACAAAATTTAAATCTGGCCAAACAGTATTTCTAACTGTAAAAATACCAGTATTTTATACACTACTGTCATGCAGGCTTTGTATTATGAGAAGGAGGGAAAATTCAGTTTTCCTGTGGGAAATAGCACTTGCTGCTAACCCTGGCACGGTTTCAGATAATGGACTGCAAAGTCCTGAGACTTGTACTATAGAAGAGCTTCACACAATCAATATGACAGGTTTTTACAGCTCCCTGTGAGCCTTACATAGTTGAACATTTGATAACTAAAACATTTGGCATTATAGGCAGGAGAGATGGAAATAACTTCAGGTTTTAAATCTTTAAAATGTTCCTGACAGTCCTTCTGTAACGTGTACTTGGAATTTGCAGAATAAATAATGGTGTGGTATAAAGATTGTTTTAGTACCACTTCAGTATGACCTCATAACTCTGTTGATTTTACCCTATAAAAAATGTGTATCACAGCCATCATGTCACTTATTCTGTATATATTACATGGCATGTTACACACGTGTGATAAAAATGTCTTTTTACTAGTTCAGTATTCATGTATCCTTGAAGTTTTCCTTCACACACGAGGATTTACAAAAGAAATTATAAACGTGTGTGGGGAAGGAGAAGAAAATGCATAAAACTTTTGTCTGAGAAAACTTACTCTTTCATAAAGGTGAAGAGGGGGTGTAATAGTACTGAAAGACAGACGTTTCAAAATATTGTTCTTTGGTACAGTTGCTGAATTTTTAAGTTTGGAAACTTCACTTCCAAAAAAACCCACTGCTTCGATTTCAGTTACTTATACCTAGCTTTTGTTTAAACTGGAATTTTTTTAATACTGTTGGCAAGAACATAAAATATACTGAAACGTAAGTTGCAGCAAGCTCTAGACTTGGATCGTGTTTGTTCAGGGTGTGGAATATGCTACTGCTGAAGCAACCTGAGGGGTTGTTGCTGTTGAAAGGTACATCCTTCTCCTCCCACCTCTGCGCCTTCCCCTCTCCTGTTAGATCCGCGCAGGCACGATGAGGATGTGCTCCAGCACCTTGGAGATGGTGCAGACCAGTGCGTGGAAGCCTGAGAGGTAGCTCAGGTGGCTTATTTGGATTGCTGACTGAGAGTAACTGAAGCTATAAGCAGTTCTTTGAACCTTTCAGTACAAAACTAGATTTCAAATGAACACCAGTAGTTAAATCTGTGTAGCCTCGAAGGGCAGGCGCCTAACTGCCAGCCCTTCTGCCTTTGTGAGTTTCCTCAACAGAATCATCTGTGCAAAAATATTATGCAGCTAGGACCGTTTCCTCAAATTGTGTGGTAGGAAAATGGATTTCAGATTAGTTTGGCAAAGACCAGTGTGCAAATACAATCTGTAACCATTTAAGCGTAGAACATCTTGATTCTTATGTGGTCACTTGTCCCTTTAGTGACCAAGAGTCATTGGCTAAAGGTTTCCTGTGTCATCAGTATGGTGGGCCACAGTTCATTCACTGCAGTTTTGTCCCTCCAATTATTCTTATTGTGAATTTCATTCGATTAGGATAAGACTACCCCAAGCCCTAGAAGGGAACAGGTCTAGAAGAGCGAGGGCAACAATTTGAGCATGGTGGGTTTCTGTCTCAGGTTTTCAGTCACAATAGACTGACAGAAAATTTTGTGAGGCAAAAAGCGAGTGAAGTGTTTAACTGAAAAGTGGTACCTTCAACTATGCAGGTGACATTGTGTGATAAGGGAAGACCATGTGCTGAAGTGTGGAAACTTCTCTGCCTGGCTGAGATATGTGCCAAGATCTGAAAGCTGCCGTGTGGTAGATTTAAGTGGCTGGGAATTGTCCACCCACCTCCCCTATGGTGTGGTCAACCACTTCAGCTCTCTTTCTGCACATGTGCTGAAGACAAATCTGTGCCACAAAACCAAGAGAGCACCAAGTCTTGATCTCTTCAGGTTTAGTCTTTGTGAGCAGTAAGCACAAAGAGTTGAATTAGGATGTTAAATCTACTTTTGCGTAGAGTTGGACTGGGGTTGTATTAAGAGTATAAAACTTACTATTATTAAACATCACCAAAATAATTTTTCTTTTCTTTATTTGATAGCACACTTAAAAGAGAGGCTGGATGAGTATATTAAGCAGTGGAATGGCCTTGTAAAGGTATTTCGAAATGAGAGGAGAGAAGGTTTAATCCAAGCCAGGAGCATTGGAGCCCAGAAGGCTAAACTTGGACAGGTAAGAGCCAGTTCACATACAAGTCTGTCTTTTTTTTTTTATTATTTATTTTTTAAGGGGAGAGGTGATGGTGGTTCTCTGTTCAAATAGACCTGCAGAAATGTAATATTGTGTTGTTGAATACTGTTTTAAAAAGAGATTAGTTTTACTCACCTAAGCTTCATTTTGTGTTGATAATATGAAAGTATTTCAGTGTAAATAAGCTTAATTAAATCATCATGATCTCGTATGCAGAAATATAAATGACTTTTTTTTTTTTTTTTTTAAGGTTTTGGTTTACCTTGATGCCCATTGTGAGGTGGGAATTAATTGGTATGCGCCACTTATAGCTCCTATAGCTAAGGACAGGTAATGTTCTCCTGCTATTACCAGTATCTGGCCTCATAGGAAGAAAAAGTCACAGTAACAATCTTCACTTTTCAAACTATAGTCAATACGTTTTATACGTATATCAACATATTGTCTATATCAAACTATATCAGTATTTGCTGAATGATGATTTTATTATCTCCCAGCAGAAGAGCTATATAAGGAGGAAGGAAAACAGTCAAGCAAATAAATCTCTGGCTAGTTTATTTTAATAGACATACTAAATATTTTGGTTAGTCTAGGTTAAATATACAATAACCCTTGTCTTTTGCAGTGATCTGAGGGACTGTTATGAAAGTGTTCTGTTCTGGCTGAATAAGGAGCCCGATTAAACAAAATAACAAAAATGTGATTTTGGGTAGAGGAAAGTAGCAGTAAGTGTTTATTTTATTTAACGGGGATTTAAAGGCCCTGTGATCTCAAGAGCTTTATAACTTTCTAATCCTTGGTTTTGCAGTATGATGTTGTTTCCTCTGAAGTGCTTTGGGGCATTGGCTCTGGCGAACCAAGGCCAGGGCTTGAGCCAGTCCCTGCTGTGAGCCCAGGCGCTTGCTGGGAGTCAGTGGTGTGAATACCTGCACGGGGAGGGGGGGATCTGTGAGAGGTGATGGGCTGGGGGACATCCCCAGGGCTTTCATTTCTACCTCCTGTTGAAATGCTGTTGTTGCTCTGTGCTGCCACGCTTCTAGCTTGTGTGGTCAGGGGGTATGTGCGTTTAGGAAGCCGTCTGGTGGTTTGAACTCTAATCCTATAAAATAACTACTTAATCCTAAAAACTATTTGTTAACCTGCCATACTACCAGAACTTTCTTGAAGTGTTTTCTGTGTGTTTTAAAGGCTGTAAGTCAGCTTCAAGACTATATTTGAGCCAGGGTGCTAGAGAGAAGATAAAGCACTGTGTGCTTCCATCGAGCTGTGTTACTCTTAAAAGAGAAAGGCTCATGAGAACAGGCAGCTTTAGAGGCATCCTCGAGCACCTTCCACAGAAGCAGGGGTTGGAGGAGGACCAGCAGTGCCCAGGAAAGTAGTGCCAGAGGGCAGCACTTGGCTGTCTTCCCCCAAGCCCTAGTACCCTAGGTGCAGCTGCTGCTGCTTCTGCCTCCAAGAAGAGCATGGTGTTAGCATTTCTTTTCCCCCCCAGTTATTTTTCTGTCTCACAGGATTTGACTTAAGATGGAAATGCTCCAAGTTTAGTAACTGGGAAACTCACTTGGAAAATCTGGGGAGAATAACAAGATAATGCCTTTTCTGTGGTGAATATTGTATGTGATAGATCACAATGGGGAGTATGTTTCAAATCAGACAAGAAGCATTCTGCTGAAGTCTGCTGCTGAGAGAGCACCAGTAGTGTTTTTTTTTATCCTGAGAGGCTGGATATGTAGGACAGTTGAACAGGACAGAATAGTGAAAATCCATGTTTACACTCATAACAGTGAAGAGCTTATCATACTTGTCAACAGCTAAGATCTGATGTAAAAAGAAATTACAGAAAATAATAATACTGTGAGAACCCTAGCCCCTCTGCGGGCTCTTCTGTTGCCTCCAGCAGCGCTTTATTAGAACACCAGTGTCAAGAAGTACACATAAAAGAAAAAGTACTGAGAAATTAATTATATTAATATTTCAGACCTAACTTTTTTTGCTTTGAGGAAGCTTTTATTTTTAGCATTTCAGACCTAACTTTTCTGTTTTTTCTAGGAAGGACTAGCTCTTTTTTCTTCTAATGAGGCTTCATTTTTTAATAATATTTTACGAATGACTTTTCATGTCAACTGCTCTGTACATTTAATAATGAATGGTGTAAATTTCAGATCAGACAGAATACTCTTCTGAAATTGTATTTTGCTCTTTCTTTCCCTTCTATAAATGTTTCAGAACTACATGTACTGTGCCTCTAATAGATTACATAGATGGGAATGATTATTCCATTGAGCCACAACAAGGTGGGGATGAAGATGGTTTTGCCAGAGGGGCCTGGGACTGGAGTTTGCTGTGGAAACGGATTCCGTTAAGCCACAAGGAAAAGTCCAAACGAAAGCATAGAACTGAGCCTTATCGGTAACGAGCCGTTTACATACTGCCACTCCTAACGAATACTTGTCTAAACCCTTTCCTTTTTCCCTCCCCCTGGTCTTTTCCCACGAACCACGGCGGGTGCACGTGTGCCACGCGCGTCCCTGCACGTAACCAACCGCGCCCTCCCCGCCGCAGAACCGTCTGCACGGTGCCGCTTATAGATGTCATAGATGGCAACACTTTTAAGATTGTGCCCCAAGGGGGTGGTGACGAAGATGGGTTTGCTAGAGGAGCGTGGGATTGGAGTATGCTATGGAAGAGGGTGCCCTTGACCGAGCGGGAGAAGGAAAGCAGAAAGACAAAAACTGAGCCGTATCGGTAATCACTAAATCACTTACCCCTCTCTTTTTTTTTTTCCCTCAGTCAGTATTGATCCGCTAAAACTTGCATGTACTTCTGGCCTGAAAATCTCCATATTTCTAACCACACCAGCTGCTTGATGTAGTCAGATGTTTCCCACAGCTGTTTGCTCCAAACACCTTTGCTGCCTTGCGTTGCCTCTCCGTTCCTGCTGTTGCGTGGTCAGCGAGGGTGCGCGTTAGAATGCCGGGGTTTTGCTTCACAAAATCAGAGACTCTGTGACTTTGCTCCCAGGAAAAAATGCATTTAGCTATGACGTTCTTTGTAGTAGTAGTGTTGGAAACAACAGTGGTTTTTTAACCAATTGATTTGAAGTAACAAGCATGCTGTGAGTATTTATAAGAGCCAGTAGTGCAGAAAATCCATAGCCTGCTGTCACGGCGTGATACGTGCATCCAGCTTGTGGATTATGCACATGCATCAAAAAAATCCCTTTTGTCCTATTTCTCCTACTTGCTTCATAACAGACCACATCTGACAAAGCAGCGTACTGTTTAAGAATCTTGGCTAGGTATTTCTGAAGGTCTCAGTATGTTTGGGGATTTTAATTTCATACACATAACATTTAAAAATAAATAAACCATTAGAAAGCCTGCCTTATTTTCTGGGAAAACTCCAATAACTTCCACAGAAATCCAACCATTTTCATACGCTTTCTAGGAGGATATGTTTTCTTCCCAGCCAACAAAAACTGCCTAGAAAACCTTAGCTTAGAAACCAGGGTTTCGGGATGGCTTTTCAAGACTGGGAGACTGTGGTTCTGCTGGTTTTTATTGCTTTTCCCTTCACACTTAACTAATCATGTAACTACATTTGAAATCTATCCTCACATCTTCAGAATCTAGTGTCTTCTATTGCTTGTATATATGATTTAAACATTGTAAGAACTGATGTTGGGGATTCCTTATCCTCACCTGTGATTGGTCTCTACCAAAATGGCAACACATGCAAGGATCTTATGAAGCTTTGATCTGTTTTGTACACAATCTAAATAATACCATTTCTGACAAGGCTGTCCACATTGGAACTTTAATATTTACTTATAGGGGGATAAACTATTTCAAACATAGCTGTTGTGTTCTGTGTTTACCATCCAAACAGGTCTTAAAACCCTTTAAACTGTTCCCAGAAACACAGAACACATGTTCTCAGAATGGATTAAAAGATGACTTTAGTTTTAATAATACTTTCAGAGTTACAGTGCTTCTTTTTAAAAAGAGACTTTTGCTGCATCTGTTTATGTCCAGGCTGTATGCATTTTGTTGCAGCAATACCAAGGCAAATAAAACTCAAGTAAAAGTCTTGCTGGAACCAGAGCCAGGTTGTCTTAGTTTAAAAAGAAGACAGACAAAAAACCTGCAACAGCTTAAAGCACAGAAACAAACTTTTTGTAATGTGAGAAGTGCCTCAGGACTGAATCCTTCTTTCAGTAACATGCTTACCTCTTCATAGCCTATAAAATAAACTGCTGAGCTTATGCAAATGGAAGTCTTACTGTGTTCTTCAATGCACTCAACAGCATATTGGAAGCCAAGATTGAAACTTCAGCATCTGAGGCCTCTACACTTGCCAAGGGTTTATGGTGCTGAGGAAAACCAAAAACACAGGAGAGCCACAGGGCTGTGCTGTGCAGTGTGCTTCTCCCTGCAGGGCTCACTGGCTTCATACTCTTTGAACCCCTGTGATGTAGAAGCAGTGCTGGGAGGAAATACCCTAGGCAGACAAGTAGAAGGGGACATTTAAGAGCAACTCAGTATCTGACCGGGTGATTTGGAGAGCAACTAAACTGATAACCATGATACTTGTAGCTGCTAGGTCTATCCCCTGAGGTTTTTCTCCTTGTTGCCCTGCCCCTGCCATGCAGAGGAGTGTATAAGTTGACCCTACAGGTTACTTTTTCTCTACACAGTTCCCCTCCAGACATTGATGTGCAGAATGTAATCATTGTTGTTAAAAGGAGGACCACTAAGTTAAAACTCTTACGGAGTGAAAAAAATGAACAGTGCTAGAAATGACCTATCAGTGATTTGGTCATGAAGGAATATTTTACTTGTGATTTCCTTGGCTCACCAGAGTGATCTCAACTCTTGGATCCTCCTCCTTTCAGTGCTGTGGGTCATCTGAAGTCAGAAAGATTTTTTCATTACCAGCTTTGTTTTTTTATATTGCTAATGTAGTAGGGAGTCCAGCTTATATCCATTAGAGGTTTTATGTTGATCCTTAGGTGAAAAATGCTTGGTATGTGCACTGGAAATGGCTTAACATATCCCATGTGCCATTTCAGTGCGAGCAAGCTGCCGAACAATTTTGGTTAGACCCATTCTGCAAAAATGCTGTGATGCAAACCACGGCGTCTTTTTGACACCTTAAAACTTGCTAATTGAACCTTGGCATGCGTGGAGGGATTTACAAAACCATCCTGAAAAAAAACAAACCAACCAACCAACCAACAAAAAACTAAACCAAAGTGGAAACCTTCTACAACTTGATCCAGGCCCTCTTAAAAATTTCACTGACTATAAAGTATCTCATATGGTAGTGGTAGAGAAAGAGACAGAGGGAGAAGATAGAGAAGTATCCATTAGCTGAAAAAACTCTCTTTTGCTTGTCTAATAAACAAGAAGTTTCAATGTGACAGCTCATCAGAACACAAACCTAAATTTGCTTTGCAGTCTCATCTGTTTCAAGAGACAAACATCTTGTCATACTGATTCTCACCATTTTTAATTTTAATAGACGTATGCTGGCTGGCTGAATGTGTAATTTCACCAAAAATTTTGTATAATTAAATGTTAAAAAAAAAAAAGCAAATGAAGAGAAAAAAACACAACATAACTTCTAGTGAAGTTGCAGCTTTTGTTATACGGATGTCCCTTCAGAAAATTTCCAGAGGATAAAGCTTTATAGTTTTTTCAGTGTATTGCCATTTGTCTAATCTTTATTATATGTTAACAGTGATGTGCCTCCTTAATTAATGCTGTCTCTGAGTGTTATATCCTTTTGGCAGAAGGAGTTACAGTGTCTTCCTCTTTCAGGTCTCCTGCCATGGCTGGTGGATTGTTTGCCATTGAACGTGATTTCTTCTTTGAGCTGGGTCTCTATGATCCAGGGCTTCAAATTTGGGGTGGTGAAAATTTTGAAATTTCTTACAAGGTAACACCAAAAATTGAAAACTAATTTAGTTTAGTAGATGTCTTTTCTGTGAATACTTCTCTTTGGAGTTCAGATAGACCTGCCTCTGGTTTGCACCACCTCTACCTCATGAAGCCCAAAAGGTTTTGGTGGGAGGAAATGTTGTGGCAGAGATGTGTCTTCAATATTTCCTTTGTGAGCAGAAGTGTTCAGAGAGGTAGCCTAGCGCCGAGACCTGAATGCTGGGTTATCTAGATTTTGATAATGGTTTGGGATCACACACCCTCCTAAATACTTAATTTGAAACCAGACTCACAAATTTGATGGGAGGGGGGAACTGAGTGCTGTCATGGTGAGTAAAGAGAAATGTTTCTTAATGAAAGTGATGATAGAGAACAAGTAGCACTCAGTTTACGCGTAGATGCCTGGGAAGTGTAGAACGATGCAACAAAAAAATACTCTGCCCTGTTTTACTCCTCTCTACCATTTTTGAAAAATTATCTCATCTACTTTTCAAAATTTCAAGAACTTCTTTACAAGAGAAGTCTTCATAATTGAAACACTGACTGCATAATTCATAACCACTACAGAAGATTTATTTTCACTCCTAGGCATATGCATGCTCTCCAGTTAGCAGGAAATGTAAGGTGATAATCATTAGCTTCTTGTAGCTTCAGTACTCATAGTGACACAAGTGGCAGACCGCAGGAATCTGTCCCTATTAAAAAACAAAACTGGAGGCATCTCTCATCCTCAGCAGCAATCTGTGAAGTCATAGCTGGTACATTCAGAGCTACCCTGGCTGCTCGTGCTCTTCGTGGTTTTGAGGAAATCTCTGAGAGCACTTGCTCAGCTGTAAATCCATATGCAAAAGGTTATTGAGGACGTTAGACATACAGGGTCTTTATCCTTCTAATTCTCCATCTTGTTTAGAGCTAAATCATGATTGAAATTACATACAGTAGATTTGTAATTGAAGTGCTGATTATGTAGAGGCCTCCAAGTTGGTTTCACGTAGATCATAACCAACCTTCAGAAGAACTAAATAGCATTGATCGGTCTTGCAGTGCTGACTTCTAGATGGCATACATAATGGCCTTGCAAAGATGAGCAGGGTTTTTTGGTGAAATTTAATATGATGATGCAATGAATGAAGTAAACTGTTCTGCCTATCTTTCCTGATGCTGTTAAGTCATATTTTTTTTCTGGAAACTGGACTTCCCAAAAGTTAGCTTCAGTTTGGATTTGATGCTATATTTCAAAGCTGTCAAAAATATGAGCAGCTAAATTCAGATTTAAATGTGTTTTATTTTTCTCATAAATGGGTAATCTAAGAAGTGTGGGAGGAGGGGAATTTTAGAATGGTACTATATTTTACCCATTTTTTATTTTCAGCTACTATAAAGAAAAATCTGTTTGTACTTCAAACAATGGGTTACCAAAGATGTCCTTATCTCCTACTAGTCTTAATTAAGGAAAACTTAAATGTGATGGGCATCTGACCAAAACCCATCTTAGTGATGGTACCTGAATTGCTTTAACAAAATCAAAATATTATTAATTCTCTTGTAATAAAAATTACCCAGTTCCAGATTTTGTGCACTCATTCATTACTGTTGTTTTAAAATAGCAATGGAATGAGATGGTAATTTTTTTTTAAAGTGATTTAGTTGAGTAATTTCATGACAGAGTTAAAGATATAATCAATACAGCCTTTGATTTCAGGCTCCTATTATGTGTATGCTTACATCTGAAGTGAAAATATTTAAATATATCACATAGTATAGTAAGAAAAGTAGTTGATGTTTCTTCCCTCTTTTATTATCTATTTGTCTGTCTTAAATTCCTGTGTACTAGCAATGCCTTTGCTTTGACTTGTAGATTTGGCAGTGTGGGGGAAAACTCTTGTTTGTTCCCTGTTCTCGTGTTGGACACATCTATCGTCTCCAGGGTTGGCAAGGAAATCCACCCCCTGTCTACGTTGGGTCTTCTCCTACTTTAAAGGTACTGTTTTCCTGCAACCTTCTTCAATGGTTTTTCATTTTAGATAACAGTTGGAGATAAAGATATTTAAATTACCAGTCACAATTCAAAGAGCACTTCATCCAAAGCTATTTAGTGTCTAAAGCTAAGGTGGTCATCCGCACGGGTGTGAAATCTTTGTGCCAATCCCACTGTTATTAAACTAAGTAAAGATTCCTGAAATGCTGCTTCTTGCTGTACTCCTCCCTGTCTTCTTGGAGGTACAAATCATGTTTCCTATTACTTACTCTCAGCACCCCAAGCCTTTACTGTGTTGTGCCAAACTGAAGTACAAACCACTCTAGTAACCACAGCACGCTCCTGGAGATCATGATCGTGGGTTTGAGTTGATAGGGGGTGGTCCCAGGCTGAGTTAGGGAGCCATGTAGCATCTCTCTGACCTTTGTAGCTACATTTGTTAACTAAGAAGCAGCGAATGACACCTGGGAAAATGGCATGCTCTGCACTCCATCATGAAGGTTGGTAACTCCTCAGGAGCCTTGCCAGTTCAGAAGTGTTTCCCGGGCAATGATATTAAAAGTAGACATCACCTGAAGAAAAGAGTGAGCCAGATGTCTATGTCTGAAGAGGTAATTTGAATCAAGAAAAGCTGTTTCATATAAGTTTGCACCTACTAGCACTAAGAGAGACAACCCTCCCATCAAAGTTTCCTATTGCCTAGTTTAAGCTTTCTCTTGCGCGGTGTTTTGGCCTTGGTAAAACATATTCCTAAAGACTGGGTTCTTTCTAAATTCCAATCCCAGAGCCATCTTCCTAGACATTACCCGTGATGATGACCACTGGTAAGAAGTGCAGAGTGTGGCTTGACCCAGGCTAGCATTTAGTTCTGCTAAAAAGAGAGCGTCCCAGGGTAGAAAACTAACTTGACAACAACCACCAAAAAACAGCATAGCTGAGAAACAGGTATAGCTGGGAGTAGAGACAGAGCAATGGGAGGCAGGGTAGCAAATGATAGCTCTGTTGCTCAGTGCAGGCAAGATATTTGCTTGCCTGAGTATTCTTAAATACTCAGCTGCTTCTCTGTACAAGGCACAACACAGGAATACCTTTCTCTCTTTCTTGAGGTAGTAATCTCCATAGTAAACACGTTTTTAATAGCTTGGTTCAGTTTACGCTGGATTTGGAATAATAAAACTGGAAATAATTTGTGCCTTTAGTCAGATAAGACTGTTAAAACATCAGGTCATTAATGCTGGAAGAAAGGTACAAAGTGGGGTGTGCATCTGGAATGTGTACAGGTAGTACAGAGGTAAGAGCTGTCAGAGACTGAGGAGAAGGATGTGAGGGAGGGGCTTGTTTGCTAGGTGAACTATCCTTTTTTTCCCCTTTTCCAAGCATCTTATAAACTCCTTTACTTAAGAAGATAAAATCTCCTTGGTGCATCATAGCTGACCTGTTTAAGACAAATTTTTCACCCGTAGTGGACTAATGTATGTCATTCTCTTTAGTAAAACTTTAGAAGGTGAATAGAAACTCTAAATTTAAGTTCTGGTACCCAGCAAATGATTGGAACGTTTTATTGCACCCGTAAGTGAGAGTCTTTATTTTCAAATAAACATTCTCTAAACTTAAATGACGACTTCTTACTTTCATGAAGCAAGCCAGTCTGTTTCACTGGCTTCAGTCCTAAACTGTCACTTGAAAATAATACATGTCTGTTGTATAATCTGCCAAAGGTGACAAATTATTAGGGCTATATCATAATTTCGTGCCGTCACTTTTTAAAGAAGAAAACTCCTTAGATTCCTGGGATAACATGAAGTTGTCTCTGAGCTGTTGTGTACGCCTTGAGGTCACGGCAGTGTTGTTCTTCACAGAACTATGTCAGAGTTGTGGAAGTGTGGTGGGATGAGTACAAAGATTACTTCTATGCCAGTCGGCCAGAGACGAAGGCGCTGCCCTACGGAGACATATCCGAGCTGAAGAAATTCCGGGAAGATCACAACTGCAAAAGTTTTAAGTGGTTTATGGAAGAAATAGCATATGATATAACTTCGTATTATCCCTTACCACCTAAAAATGTGGACTGGGGAGAGGTAAGCACAGCACATAACCTGTATTAACTTTAGGAGCTTTTTTTAAAAAAAAAAAAATACTGGAAATTCAAGAGGAAGTGATTGTTGCTTGGCATCAATCTGAAAACAGGCTTTTTTGATTACTGCTGTACTAGGGTATATGATGCTGGCCAGAGAGTTATGGAGATAGAACCCTAGGGAAAAACAAAAATATATGCTTTAAGAGGTGTGATTTTTTTAATTACTTCCATAGGTCCTTGAAGGATGATTTTATCGCTAGCCCCATTTCGAGTTATGTCTAAAGCTCTTTTTTACATAACTGGAATTCAGGTATTTTTAACAGAAAAAAATGGGAATCCTCTGTGTGTAGGAGTATTGGTAGAGGTTAATAACTGAAAATCTTTTTTCTGTGAAGGCCTAGAGACTAGATCATTTGCCTACATTTGCTAGCCTGGAATGTACTCATACAGTTACCACCTCAGTAAATCCCTTTTCCACGTGTAATCATTTGATATGATTCTTTAACTGTCATTTCCAACTTCAGTGTATATGGGTATGACTTTGCTTAATTAAAAGTGTGGTTACAAATTAGGCGTTTTCATAGGGTTGACAGAGGGAGACAGAATGTTGCCCTGTGAGACAGGACACCTCACTGAAACTTATACCCTGGTGTTCAGCCCACGCCTTGAGGAGCTCTTACTGCAGGTCTCCTACCTGCTGTCAGGTTGTGGAGGCAAAATCAAAATCGTGTTGCTAGCAGAGGAGGATGCCTGTGTCCCCAAATTTATTCCTAAGATATGATGGTCCCATTTTTGTAACTTCAAAAGAGCATTAGAAAGTACAGATCTGTACTGTTTCCTATGACCAAGAAAGTGGCATCTCTAATTTCTGTGAGGAATTAGTGATACAAGAGTGTGTGCATGGTGGAAAGGGGTGCACATAGTCCTGTAGCTGAAGAACCTGGTGAACAATGCAACCTTTCTTTCTTAGCTAAAAGCTAGCACAAGCCATGAGTTACTACACTGGCCTTAGACTTCCTTTTAGATCCACATAAAGGGTTAGGAAGGCACATTACATATTACTATTCACTGAGGTAGAAGTATCTGAAGAGAAAGATAAAAAATAAATGGCCACCCTGTGAGAAATCATCCCTGATAAAAGCAGATGGCTTTCTTATGAAGCAACAGGAAAGTCAGAAGTTTAGAGACTTTTCTGGAGTTTTCTTCACTGGTTGCTAGTTATCCTGCATCTGAGAAACTTTGCCCCTTCCCCACCATTTGTGGCACCACACCAATTGAATTTCCTGTCAGGAATGAAAGTGTGGGGTTCATCTGTGCGTGATCTTCCCTAACACTCTTTCTGGAAGTCAAGGTCCAAGCTTAGTTCTCTAGAATTTCTTCTACTGTCATGAAGAGGGAAGACTGACAAAGAAAATAGTTCTGGAAAGAACATTTTTTTTGTCATAAAGGCTTTGTAAAGCTCTTTGTTGAGAGGAGGGACTGAGATAATCAGAAGTTGAGGCAAGCTTCATGACAGGACTTTTGTTCTTTACCCCTGTGCCTGCCCTTCAGCAATTTTGTCTCTTTTTTTTTTCTGTGGAATTGCTGCTGCAGAAGGTACATCTGAGCAGCAGGTTGGTGGGCTGTGCCTGGCTGCATTGATTAACTGCTGTGTGGAAACTTCTGCATCCCACTTCTCTCATCCACAAAATAAGAGCAACTTAGCTGAGCTCCTGCTTTATTTATGAAGACTTGGGAGACTAAATGCGCTTTGATAGGAGATTGAATAAATTAAAAGACTTGAAAGTCCTACATTTCAGTGGCATTAATTTGGAACTGAACTTTGCAACTCTAGCTTTATCAGTGTACTCTAGCTCACACAAGAGCCTGCAGATTATCATGGGCTGCTTGAAGCTCCATCTCCTAGGACAGTTAATATCGGTAATCAAAATTCATCTGCAGGTTTACCTCCTATCTCTGTTAGATATCTGATTCTGGTTTGAAAGATAAGTAGGAACTTTCTGAACTCCTTTGCGCTTACTTCTTCCTTGAGACTAACTTGGAGTGCAAAACCTCTTTTCCAGATTAGAGGCTTTGAAACTGCTTACTGCATCGACAGCATGGGGCACACCAACGGTGGCTTCGTTGAGCTTGGACCATGCCACAGAATGGGAGGAAATCAGGTAAGGAGCTTACAGCCAGGTCTGAAGGAGAATTGCTTGCTGTGGATGATAACAAGCTAGTTTTCTGTTAAGCCTGTATATGAAGTCC